ATAGCTTACAAACACTCGACCTACAGGAAGTCTGCAAAGAATTTGCAAATGTTTTCAGCCCCCAGCTGGGCACATTCAAAGGACCACCTGTGTCCTTAAAGCTAGACCCCACTGTCACTCCCATTAGGATTAAAGCAAGAAGGGTCCCTTTTGCTTTAAAAAGTAAGATTGACACTGAACTAGACAAACTAATCCAACATGGAATCCTAGAACCTGTTGATTCCAGCCCGTGGGAGACCCCCATTGTCACGCCTCTAAAGGCAAATGGGGACATTCGCATTTGTGCTGATTACAAATGCACACTCAATAAGGCATTGCAGCAACATGCCTATCCTGTTCCTGTGGTCAGTCACATCCTGGCCTCTCTCAAGGGGGGGCGTGTTTTTTGCAAAGCTTGACCTAGCTCAAGCATATCAACAGCTGCCTGTTGATGATGATGCTGCCATAGCTCAGACCATTGTGACCCACAGGGGTGCCTTTAAAGTAAAAAGACTACAGTTTGGAGTGAATGTCGCTCCTGGGATTTTCCAAAGCGTAATGGAAAACACACTACGAGGTATACCATGGTCTGCCCCTACTTTGACGATGTCTTGATTGCAGGAGACTCCACACACATTCTAGCTGAAAGGCTTAGGGCTGTCCTGTTAAGATTCAGGAAATCAGGCCTTAAGCTCAGAAAAGACAAATGCAAGATTGGGGTGCCTTCTACTGAATTTCTGGGATTCAAAATTGATGCTGCTGGGATTCATCCTGCTGAATCCAAACTAACTGCTATTTTAGAAGCACCCAGGCCAAAGTCTAAGGCCGAACTTCAGGCCTTCTTAGGCCTCCTGAATTTCTACAATTCTTTTCTTCCACATAAAGCTAGTGTAGCTGAGCCTCTTCACAGGCTACTAGACAAACAAGCTGTGTGGCTGTGGTCACAAGCACATGAGGCTTGCTTTAAAGAAGTCAAGGCCTTGCTCACTTCTAACAGTGTTCTTGCACATTTCAACGAGTCTCTCCCTGTGTGCATCGCTTGTGATGCGTCCCCCTACGGGGTTGGAGCTGTCCTGAGTCACCTCAGGTCTGATGGAACTCAGGTTCCTATAGCATACTACTCCAGAACACTGTCTTCTGCCGAGCGCAACTACACTCAGATAGACAGGGAGGCTCTGGCTGTTGTTGCTGGAATTAAAAAATTCCACGATTTTCTATATGGCAGGCATTTCACGGTCTTCACTGACCATAAGCCTCTGCTGGGACTGTTTACCACACGTAAGCAGACTCCCCACATCATTTCCCCTAGAATGCTTAGGTGGTCTATTTTTTGTCTGCATATGTTTTTCATTAATCACAAGCCTGGGAAAGAAATGGGCCATGCTGATGGCCTCAGTAGGTTGCCTCTGCCAGTAGTAGAAAGCTGACCCCGCGCCAGCTGTCAACATTCTATCAATCCAAGCCTTGCCCGAGCTCCTCTTAGTGCCAGGGATGTTACCGCTGAAACAGGTACAGATCACACACTTTCACGTGTCCGCTCCTGGGTCCTGTCCGGGTGGCCTGAGCACTGCCCTAGTCCTGAGTTTCAGAGTTTCTGGTCCAAAAGGAACGAACTGTCCCTTTCTCAGGGTTGTCTGCTTTGGGGAAACAGAGTTGTCATTCCCACCTCAATGAGGACTAGGGTCTTAGAATCCCTCCACGAGGGTCATCCTGGCATTGTTCGTATGAAGGCTCTTGCACGCAGCCACTTGTGGTGGCCTGGTTTAGATAAAGATATTGAGGCTAAGGTACACGCATGCCACCTGTGCCAACGATCTCGCCCAGAGATGCCCCAAGCTCCTGTGCATAGATGGGAGGAAACACAGTCCCCATGGTCTAGGGTGCACATTGACTACGCTGGGCCCTTTCAGGGCCAGTTCTTCTTGGTCCTTGTGACAGCCATTCAAAATGGCTTGAGGTTGTGCCTGTCTCATCCACCACCACTGCAAAGACTATTCAGGTACTGAGGGGGATTTTTGCTGCACACGGGCTGCCAGATGTCATTGTGTCCGACAACGGCCCTCAATTCACCTCCTCCGAATTCCAAGCTTTCTTACAGGCAAACCTGATTCGTCATGCCACGTCTGTGCCTTTTCACCCGTCCACCAACGGTATGGCTGAACGCATGGTGCGCATCGCAAAGGACGCCTTGAAGAGACTCACCTACGGGGACTGGCATCACAGGTTGGCTGACTTTCTCCTTTTTTATCGCACCACACCGTCCACTTCTACAGGGAGAAGTGCAGCTGAACTTCGTTGGGGGCGCCAACTTACTACTAGACTTGACCGGTTGCATCCGGACAGACTGCCTTCATCTACCTCACATCCTAGGGCACCTAGACAACTACTTGTGGGTGCCCCGGTTTGGGCTTGCAATTACGGGCCTGGTCATACCTGGGTCCCCGCTTCTATTTCCAGGGTCACAGGTCATCTCTCCTACGAGGTTGCCCTGGACAACGGTCGTGTCCTGCGTCGGCACATCGACCAACTTCGCTCTAGGTGAGACTTTTCTGCTGAGACTCCTGGGTCTTTTCCAGGGGGGGAGGGGGACCCTTTGGAGCAAAGGGAAGGGCAAGAGCTATTGCCCATCTCCACTGAGGGAGCCACAAACGGCTCGTCCCAAGGTTCTGCAATTGCTCCGAAAAGAAAGTCATGGAGCTTACCCACACAACAGGCACTCACGCCTACTCCAGCCAGGGAGTCACCCCGGGGGCATACTCACTTTCCACACACATCACACAGCACTCCAGCAATGGAGGATACCCGGGGGCATCCCAACAAATCATTCCCCGCAAGAGAGCTGGCACACAATTCCCAAGGTTGGCCTGACCTTACCCCAAATCCTACAGGGGGTCAAACATACACAGAGCTAGTCGAGGAGCCAAGTCCCGACTACAACACCCCTAGCACAAATCAGGGAACACCTGAGTTTTGGGAAAGTACAGAAACCCACACGAGCCCGAGCACAGAATGGGGTTCAGGGAATGGACAGCCTCCTGACAGGTCTTGGACTGACCTAGGAGGTTCTACAGAGACGCCCAGCAGTGGCTATCACTTCAAGGGGCCTGAGGGTCTACAGCTAGGTAGGACAACCAGGTCACAAAGCAACAGAAGCCCTGGCCTGACGAGCCCGGTGGGCAAGCAAGCAGGCCAGGCATCGGGGCACAGTCCTTGGAAGACACCAGGGCACAGTAGAGAGAACAGGCTCACGCCTCCCTCCAGTCAGGGGACTTATGCCAGTAACCCAGAGCTAAGAAGGTCACAGAGAGCAAAGAAATCTCCTAAGTACCTAGAAGATTACATAACATTGCTGGCAAGGCAAAAGCCAGTAAACAGTGGGAGCACTGGGGAGCAAATTGTCGTATAAAATAAATGTTGTATGTTGGTAGTAGTTTTAGCCCGGGGGAAAGGGGTGTTATGTCCCGAGCCTTGCAAACGGCTCGGGCGTTTGCAGGCAGTCCCGGGCAGGTGCAAAGCTGCCCGGGACCAGACAGGCTGTCGCCAGCGCCGTGCGCATGCGCGGGTGCTGGCGCGGGAAAAGTAACCCATTTACCCGGGAGTTGCCTATATAAGAGGCTGCGAGGCGTTTGGGCGAGGCTGAAGCCATCTTCCTGTAAGCTGAACGCTGAATAAAAGAAACTGAGAACTCCAGCTGCTTCTCGTGTCTGTTTCCCGCCACGGACTCAACAGTAGCGCTGTTGTTGAAGATATGCACGGAATACACACGAGTGTCTATCAAGAATAAGGTTCTTTACAGAAGGAACAAGAACCAGGATGCTACCATCTGGAATACATTCAGCCTGTTGGTGGAGCAAATCTTTTTTATTTTGGGTTCACCAAATGCCAAAATACTGCTTCTTCTGAAAATCTCTGAGGGATCCCAGAACATAGAAAGGCGGTCAGAAAGAAAATCAACAAGGTTTCCCCCCCCCCCCATAATGTACACAGTGATGTGTTGGTTCTAAACGGGAAATAATTCAGCTGGAATTCTTATAAATGTTTGGAATAAGAGCTGGATTAAAAAAAAATAAACCAGACCAAAGCTGGTGATATGCACCAATTCTCCCATCAACCATTAAATCTGGGGGGATCAACTTTGAAGAGGCCAGAAAGATCATCTTTAACTTTCATTTGTTGTGTTGGACCAAAAGTTACAATCCCAAAGATGGGGTCAAGAAGACAAAACCTGAATCTGGTAATCTTCGTGTCTAGGTTAAATTCAATAAATCCGAAGGAATAATTACAGCTATTTTCCACATATTTAACAGTAGCCCCTTCTGTCTTATTGAAAAATTATACAGGTAGTCCTCAACCTACAACAGTTCATTTACTGACCATTCGAAGTTACAACAGCATTGAAAAATTATGACTGTTTTTCACACTTTACAATCTCTGCAGCATCTCCATGGTCATGTGATCAAACTTCAGATGCTTGGCAACTGATTCATATTTACCGTATTTTCCGGCATATAGGACGACTCGGCGTATAAGACGACCCCCAACTTCGGAGATGATTTGCATGATTAGAAAGTCGTCTTATATGCCAGAAACTACTGTATTTTCCGGCGTATAAGACGACTCGGCGTATAAGACGACCCCCGACTTCGGAGATGATTTGCATGCTTTAGAAAGTTGTTTTATACGCCGGAAAATACGGTATGATGATTGCACTGTCCCGGCGTCATATGATCTCCTTTTCAAACCTTCTGACAAGCCAGATTTACTTAAAAACTGTTTTACTAACTTAACAACTACATTGATTCGTTTAAAAACTGCAAGAATGAACATAAAACGGGGCAAAATTCACTTAACTGTCTTGCTTAGCAACAGGAATGTTGTTCTGAATTGTGGTCATAAGTTGAGCACTCCTGTAGTTCGGAAAAAGCTTTTATGAGAGGACTGATGGGTGTGGAGGGTTGTACCTACACAAACTATGAATCATAGATGTGGGAGAAACTCTCAGATGCTCACTCCTGAGAGAACTTGGCTGTGCAACTATCCTGTATGCATATTTACAAGGTTGGAGAGGTTTATATCTTGTTTACCTGCCTGGCTTTTGGAAAACTAATGTTCCTGTGGCAAAGAGGACAATTCAGAAGAAGAGATGGTAATCTGAGCAAAAAAATAATTCTAGATCAATGCATTTATAGAAATCTTTTTCTGATGTTCCTTCTCTTTCAGTCTGGGGTTTTCTTTCCCTCTCTTCCTTCATGAAGTTGTTTTCAGTGTTTAAATCAATCATTAGTCTCTGTTTATTTCGGCAGAGGACATAATTCTTTGGAGAAATATGTCCAGTCCCCAAGGCTGTCATAGGAACATGACCTTTGCTACCTGTAAATGTTGTGTAAGACACCTGCCTTCCTTGACAGCTGGGGTGATAATCCGCTTTGTCTCTCTTAAGTGATAGCTGATAAGTCTGTCCAGAAATGTTGGCTGTATTTTTCTCTCCAGGAGAATGTGAAGGAATGCAAGTTGGGTTCAAAATATTTATTCTAAAAGGGAATGGAGGAGTTGTTCCCATCCAATTTAGCAAAAGCTGAAAGAGTGGAAGGGGTAACCTGAAGCAGTCAGATGCCTATTTTCCAAATGAGGTTACAATTTAAGAAGTCTTAAAATGAAATTGCATTTGGGATAGAAAGTTTTTGCAGAAGAGAAAATCACAAAAAGTAGGTGGCTTTTTCCCTTCTCTTTTATATATTTACACTTTTTTGCCACAGACAGAGGGGAGACACAATATTTTGTCACAAGCTTATTTATTTGCAGACTATATATGTTCAAATGATATGCCCACAAAAAAGGAAATTTTAACTAGTAAAAGAAAACAATAGTTATAAACATGACATAATGTGACATAATGGTAAAACTTTAAGAAAAAGAATGATAATAGTAGCTAAAGAAATCCCAAGACTATTATAATGAAGGAAATAGGATAACTTTATTTATAGGATGTTTTTCTTGCTTTTTCATCAATAAAATAGTAACAATGAATAGATTACACACCGACACTCAAATACATTACAAATTGCAACACCCAAGGATTTTCATATTCTAGTACATTACAAAGGATGGTTTTATAAGTTATTTTCCACCAGCTTTCCTTCTTTTCTCCTATGATTTTTCTTGTTAAATATATATTTTAACTCCTTTTTTAATACTGTATTTTTCTCAAGGCAGCTTGCAATATTAAAACACTCAATTCAACAACATATGTAATACACTGAAAGAGTTTGCTTTTGGTAAAATGAGTTTGCTTTAACACATGAACTAGTTATAACAATTCATGTAAAAAAATGAACATTAAAACTAAAGAAAATTAATACACCTTAGAAGCATTTTAAAAATTTCAAACTGCAGTTCTTTTTGCAGTGAATTATTTTGCCATGTTGAGTTTCAGCCCTTTTCACACCATTTCTTATTTATAGGCATATTATTTTTCTTCTTCTTTTAAATGGTGACTGATTAAGATTTTTTAATGATTTTTTTCCCCAAATGGATCTCTTCTAAGCCTTAGGTTAATCAAACACAAACAAATCAAAAGGGACAAAATAACCCAAAATGATTTTGATGGCTTATGACCAGAGTCCATAAGCTTTTAACTTAGGAACAGCACTCAAAGACACTAAATATAATTTCTGTATTGAGCCAATATTTCCGTCACCTTTTCCAAGGAAATATTTTTATAAATCATCTGGACAGGAGTCCTTGAGATGCCGCAGATGAAAATTTATTATTCTCTATCTCATTGACTATTATGATCAAATTTCACAAGCTTATGAATTCATTCTTCCAAGGGGTCACATTTCTTCCAAAAGGTGTGATTTATTCTGTTTTTCTAAATATCTAAATTTCGAAAATCCATTAGATTTGCTATTTTTAACCAAGTGCAAGGCAGGCCAAATGAGAATCCTTTGGAAGATGAGATTCTGGTGGAGATATAGGTGCCATTAGGCGAATGTCTTGCTATTAATGATTTGCCTTCCTCTCATTCATGATGTATTTCCAGTGTAGGTCTGCAATGCTCAGTCTCGAACAAGAACGTAATCCTTTGAACAAGCTCTACCTAATGCTATGCAAATGCCTACGGGAGCAAACTCTTTTTCCTCTTCTTTCATGCGTGATCACCGGAAGAAAGTTTGCTGGCAACCAGAATCACATTAAATGCTCCCTCTCTCTCTCTCTCTCTCTCTCTCTCTCTCTCTCTCTCTCTCTCTCTCTAGCAAAAGGGGATGGATGAATGGGGTCATGCGCCAAGTCCCCTGCAGTTCACCATTATTTTTGGTGAATAAAGGATGGCTAAGGTTGAGTGGAATGTCAGCAAACCTTTCATCCCTCTTCCTTTCAGCTGTCTGTGTTCTTATCCACAAGCCATACAAAGATCCTGGATTGGGTTTTCACATCCATGGCCAGCTGGCTCCTTCTGCATAATGGGCAAGAGTGGGCATTTGCTTTCTACATTTGCAGAAGGAAAATGCCAGAAGATTTCTATCACAATATGCTCAACGTAGGACTGGCCTCTCTTTCCCCTGTGTCTTTAGGAAGGAGTGGGGCCTGCGATCTCCCCATGGAAGGCTGGGGTTGAGAACATTTAATTTCAAAAAATACCATGCCTCGTAAGGAAGGCCAGAAGGTGGAGCCCATCGCAGGCCAGATGTGAACTGGGATAGGTCAGAACTGGTGAGAAAATGCATGTGCCTTTGTGTGCATGTGTGTGTGTGTGTGGATGTGCGCCTGTACACATACATATGTATTCCTGACACTTTGTTTTAATAGATGACCTCAAGTTTTAATATTCAGGGAAAGAAAAAGAGAGAAATTGCTTTCTCCCTACATTCTTCATACCGTACCATGCATAATTTTATATTCTTCTGTTTGTGCTTTTCCCCTTACTTGCTTCTGCGTCTGTTTCTTTAGATGTTGTTCTTCCTTCCCCTTTCAGCCCTTTGGCTACTGCAGCTGCCAAATGCAGGCCACTTCTTGAAAATATTATTGTTGCTTTGTCTATTTTAGAAAAAAAATCTTAAGTCTTCTCGCAAATACTATTGTTTTGCTCTGATGTATTTTTTCACTGGGCAGGTCAGCCATTTGTGTGTCTCAAAAACCTGTACTAGTTGGTTCATTCGTTGAGCACAGCCTAAGTATTGTACTATGTAACTGCTGGGATTGTTTATGTTTGCAATACAATGTGTATCTCTAATTACATAAGGATGGTGAATCTTGTAAAATAGTGTTTTTCAACTTTGGCAACTTTCAGTTGTGTGGACTTCAACTCCCAGAATTCCTTAGCCAGCATGTTACGAAAATAAATATGTTGTTAGTAAAAGTCACAGCATGCTGTCTGGGGGAATTCTGGGAGTTGAAGTCCAGATATTTTAAAATTGCCAGGTTTGAAAAATACTGCTAATGAAGTGATACTTCAGTGGTAAAATTGGAATATAGGAAAGATTTTGCAAACAGATTATGGTTATATTCCAGATTATACTATTTGCAACATCTAGTCTCTGGCATTTATGCATTGCTACCATTTCCACTTACAAATCTTTCAAAAGCAGCTTGAATATTATTGGTAATTATCTTTTTTTCTGCCAGTCTATGAATGCTAAATATTAAAAACAAGCATGTCATTTAGTCATTGCTCCATTCTTAGCTGTCACAGTTCCCAGAGTAACAAAAATCTTCTCTTCCCTTCAAAAGGAAAATGAAAGAAATTTTAACCTTTTTTTAAAATTTCACATTAGATGCTTTTTTCTGGTCATACTAAAAAATAATCCAAGTATTTCCTATGAAGGAGGGTTACAAAACTGCCGAGTCACCCTTCCTCTTAAAAAACAATTATGGCCACTAAAATAAGAAGCTGGAAGGTCCTGCAAAGGGGAAGCTGATTGCACAGTTCCATTAAAATAAAAGTATTTTAAGTAGATAGATAAGTAAATAGATAGATAGATAAATAGATAGATAGATAGATAGATAGATAGATAGATAGATAGATAGATAGATAGATAGATAGATAGATAGACAGACAGACAGACAGACAGATTTACTTATTTACTTATACCATAAGAAATAAATTAGTTCAGCCCAAGGTCAACAGCTCTGCAACAGTTGTGAAGTCCTCATATGAAAGGGTCTTTAATTATTAACAGTTAGAACAATTAATCAGCAGAACAACTTGCCTTCAGAAGTTGTGGTGTTCCAACATTGGAGGTGTTTAAGAAGAGATTGGACAATCTTTGTCTGAAATGGTAGGATTTCCTGCTTGAGCAGAGGGTTGGACTAGAAGACCTCCAAAGTCCCTTCCAACTCAGTTATTCTGTTATTTTATACTTAGGTTTCATCATTTTCTTCTTATAACAACCCTTACACCATGGGTATCAAACTCGATCATGTCATGTGACATATTGTGACGTATCATGACTTTTTTGCCTGAGGTGGGTGTGGCCTGCATGTGACATATACGGCCCGCAGGTCACCAGTTTGACACTCCTGCCTTACACTAAGGAAGGCCATGCTCAGGCTCTCCTATAGCGTCCATGTCATTTGTTGGAGTATGGAAAAATTGGATGCTGAACTTATTTTTCTGCAGGACCAATAAATGCAGGGATTAATGGATGCTTTCACAGATCAGGAAAGAGGTGCATATGTATGTAGATAGCTAGACCAGGGCTTTTTAACCAGTGGTACGGGTACCACCTGTGGTACATTGGCACCTGGCAGGTGGTACGCGACCATCCTAGAAAAGTGGTAGCAGGGGAGGGGAATGAGCTGAATTGGTGGCCCCACCGCGCAAGCCTGAGCGAGAGATGGCTGGAGCTGTAGGACTGTCAGGGCTCAGCAGAAGCACCAGGATCAGTGCCGCTTTCCAGCTGATCGACACTTCTTTGGCCCTGTCAGGGCTCAGTGGAAGCACCAGGATCAGCGCCAGGCTCCAGCTGGAGCTCTGCGTTGATCCTGGTGCTTCTGCTGAGCCCAGAAGAAGCACCAATCAGCTGGAATGTTGTAGCATCTCCAGGCTCTTGTGATTTACATTCAGATGTGTGGCAACTGATTCATATTTATGACGGTCACAGTGTCCCAGGGTCATATGAAGTGACCAAAACCTGCTGCAACCAC